AGGATCCATTTATAAGTAGCGCAAATATATGTTCTTGCCCCAGTCTTGAGGAATATTTGAACGTAGATGAACATAGCAGAATATTCGGAATTGTGTATGTTGTCAGCGAGCTCAGAAGGTGCTTTTGGTACGAAGTTTCCAGTTTTGTTTCCACAAACATTTGAGCGGTGGTTGGCAGTGCTCTGAAAGGACGAGCAAATGTTGCTTGGAAACGGAAGTAGACCAACTATAAGCGATCACTATAATTCTAAACTGACCACGGAAAACGTAGATAACCATCCTTACACTAGGGAGAAAAATGGAACGGGATTCATCCGCATAATGCTTCTTTGGGAAGGATGGACTTGCCAACAGAAAGTTGACCGCGGGGTGCAGTTGATATACGCATCTACTGCCCGCGCTCGTCGAGCTCTAATCTTACAGTGGTCACCACGGTGTTCTAGTCAGACTTCCGATCTTCCACCGTTGCAACAGGGGTTCAATTTCGGTTGATCCATGTGGAATGTTTGGTAGACAAAGCGGGTGCCTGGCAGGTTTTTTGGAGGGTTCCCGTCTCTCAGTCCACCATTGCTCCATCATCATTCATATCTCATCCTCACAATCACCCTGCCATAGAACTCGTTTAAGGAGGGTTAGGCACAGCAGTTTCAATAAAGAATTAAGCTCTTACTTTGCTATATGACTGAAGATTGGGATTTTTGTTATTTTGTTCAAATCACTTACAACCTAAGTATGAGTGTTGTTTACCCCATGCAAACCGTATTTGTTACATTTGTTTCATGTTGAGTGAAAATGTCTGTTCATCAAATATTGCTAAACACGCTCATGGCTTTTATTTATAACAAGCAAAATATCCGGCTTTGCCCACGCTTTCTTCATATAAAATCCGTGGAAAGAAGAAAAATATAAGTTCTATATAAACCCCGGTGTTGAATTTTTAAAAATATAATTGGTTCAAATTTTAATAAAATACTATGTTTCTTTATATTTTATTTTACTGTATATTGCTATTGGAATTTTATCTGATCTGCTTTTCTCAGATTCTAAAGTATTTTATTAGCCCTATGTTTACTGAGTGGGTACAATATGTACTCACAATATTCTTTTTTTTAAATTACTGGTTTTAAATAATAATTTTAACAAATTGTGAATGTATTTGTCCGTTGAACTATTATTAGTACATAAGAAAACAGAACATATTAAATTCTAAGAACAATGTACTGTAAAATTAATAGAAAGAAAATTATAGTATTTTATTACAGTATGAACCATTTTATTATAAATAATGTTAAATGCTGCCGACCTGACTCCTCTTCTACCTCGCAAGCAGGTTGCAGGTTTTGTGGCCAGAATATTTCCATAAGTAGAAAGAACCACAATTTTCTCGAAGACGAAAATTTTCGAGGGATAAACCGATAGTACTAAACTCCCTTGAATAATGATAAGTCTACAGAACCATTTTTCACCCTTATATGGCTGAACTTGTCGATATTTAGCTCTGTACTAGCAAGTTACAAAAGTATTTGTTACGTAAATAATAGAATAAACGTTTATTACACATTTAACTGCGTTGATCACAAGTGGAAGAAATAGTATCGCAAAGACAATGGCGAAAAATGTTTTCGTAATTCCAATCCGTTACATTAATTATTAAAATACACTTAGCAAAACTTGCGTGATTATGTTTTGACTACTAAAATTAATCTATAAACAAAATGTGCTCCTGGTTGTAACCTTTATTAAATTAAGTCATTTACTTTACAAACTACTAAACCTTACCTTCTGCAGTTTTACGGTGTCCGGGTAGATTTTCATCCCAATTTCAAAACTATGGTGTCTTAGATGACTCTTGTTGATGGTAGTATGATATTATTACTTTTCATATCATAAATAATTAACTTACGATGCTTTACAAAATTAATACCGACTTCGTTGAGCGACTTCAACATAACTGAACTTCTTTCGCATTTCGACGACTGTCGTCAAAGAATGTTGATTTTTTTCTTGTGATTTGAAAATCTTTTGCAAGTTGTCGATATTGTAACGATCCACGGATAATGCGATTGCATGCTCTCTCACAAATGAAGAACCCTCGACGCAAAATGAACGACCAAATGATGACCGTTATTCGCTCTATTGAATGGTATTTTCTTAAAATATTTATCCCCTTGAGGTAAACAAATACTGACTTTTTATTAAAAACTACTCTCAATGTCTAATGTAAAAAAAATACTTATTTTGTGTCCGTTGTTTTCAAATTTCTGAATGCAAACATTTCATACATTCAAAGAAATCAAAACGAAACTCAGGAAAGTTCGCTGACTGAGCAATTATATCCTTTCTGTAAGTAATACTATTTTATACTTTTCTTAGTTTACTTACTCATATTTTACTTAATTTTTGGCAACATTCATCGAAATTTACCACTTACATTTACTCTCACTTACATTATGTAATAGAGTACGGTTAGAGTCTGTAGTACGAATACATGTGGAAAAATGTTCGAACAACTGAAGTCATTGCTTCAAAATTAGGGAAGAATACTTTTGAGAGGTTAAGAATACAAAAATAGCGTAATTGTGATCCAAAATGTTTCCCCCAAATGAGATTTTTCAGTATTTTGTTAAATAGTTAAAATTTAAACTAGAGGTGTTACAACAGCAAGTACTTTCTCGCATTAGTAACGGTTACATAATATTATTATTCTGCTGTTTTAGTTCACACTTATTAACACATCTCAGCCATTACTTGAAAATTTTCCAAACGTAACATATGAGGTCCGAAACTGTTAATTACGCAGGACATTATACAGACGGGTAAGAATAGATTCCACAAGCTTGACTCGATTATTTCTAAAAGAACACTTGAAAATCTGCAGAACGATAAATAAACTTGTGAATCCATAAAAAAATAAGTAAAATCTTTTATTATATTAATAACAACAATATTTAACAATATTTAACATGCGGAAAATAAAAAGGAACCATTTTACGGAAACACAGTTTTGCGTGAGATGCAAGAAACTAAAATATGTCAAATTCAGCCATTTTTGGTTTTTGTTTATTATCGTAGTACACTACTTTCACCTGCAATCTGTCCACTAAAAGGCGCACACTTTTTTTTGTTTTTTCTTGTACTTTGTGTGTCTTTCTGCACAGAATGGTGGTTTCCAGTTCAAAAATCATATTGAGTAGTAAGTTGTTTTTCGTATGTCCGTTGTCCAACATTGTGCACATTGGATGGGGAAGTTGTGTGTGTGTGTTGTCTTTCTTCACAATGATCACTTGATGGTTGCATATTTGATTAATTTGTAAAATAGTTTCTAGTAATTCTGCGCCGTTAAATTCTATTGCGTCCACTGGTATTGGTTTTCCTTCTTTTTGCGGTCAGATTAAACTCTGAAGGGGGGTGTACCGTGTAAGATCTGTAAATACGTTCTGTTCAGTTATCGATTGGTGTAAATGTTTAACACAACGAGAAACCTTTTGGCTGAGTCTTTGTAAGAATGGAATTTCTGTTGGGTGTACGATATTAAATTACTTTCCTGTAGAATAATCTTTATTTCACTGTTATTTGTACTTGTCATGAAATTACAAGTAACATTGGTTTTGAGTTCTATTTTAAACTGATTGATATCTGTTATTTGCGCTACTTAAATAGGTGGTTTTTGTCTGTTAGAATTTGCATATGCAACTCGTTTACGAGTATAATGTTGCTTTACTGCATTCGTACAAATGTGAAAACTTGCCCATATGGTGGCTCGTTTTCAAGTAATAAAGCTTAACATTATTAACTAGTTTCGTAAAATACTAATAAGCGCTTCTGGCTGAAGAGAACAGATCATAAATACGTAGAGGTAGAGCAAGCACAAGGATGGCGAGGGAAAAATCACAGTACATTTCCCAAATGTTCATTCCCGTCTGAGATAATGCATATTCTGGAGAACACATCACATACTCTCTCCGAGAATTATACATCACAGAAAATAATTGCTCAAATAAAAAAAATTCCCTCCAACGCTATTCTTGTAAGCCTCGTTTTATTAAATTGAATTCTATACCATTTCCTTGCCTGTTGATTTTCGAATCAATGTTCTTTATAAAAAAATGACTATCTTATCATTCAATCAGCACATATCTATAACTCGACGTTGTAATTATGCTTATCAGGTATCGGTATGAACATCCCACTTCAAAAAAAATCATACAATGCTCACAATTTTAGAACACATGGCCAGTAAACTTTTAAATAAAAAAACTTATAAAATATTTAATTCGATTCACAAGATCCAAGTGAAATCTTTTCTGCTGCATAATTGCTTCTAAACAAATGGACTATCAACTACCGAGCGAGAGTCAAAAAGGAAAGTAATATTGATGTTATTTAAGATTATTTAAGATTAATAAGAATGTTATTTAATGTATTAGTTATTCACACAATTTGAACCGTGTAGTTCTAAAAGAATAATAAGAAGCATGCATAACAAGTATTGTATCTCAGCTTTTGGGCCAATGACCTGCATCTCGATTAGGTTTTTTGCAGTTCCGCTGATCCTCCCAATGCATCAGAGAGTTGTTTGTGCCGGGTGACGCGGGGCGGGGCCGGGCCGACCGGGACCGGATGGAGCGAGTGGGGTGGGGGCAGGTGGAGGGGAAAGGAGAGCAAGAAGCTGGCGGAGGAGAATGAGCGAAAGGGGTGAATCTGAAAAGACAAAGGAGGGGAAGAAGGCGGCGGGTCGGGAATCAGGCCCAGCCAAGAGAATGGGTGAAGTGAGAAGAAAGGGGGGGGGGTACGTAGAGGTTAGAACAGAAGATGGTGGATGAAAGGTTTGGGCGAAAATAACAGGATGGATTTACCTACAAGCAAAACAAGCAGTTGCTTAAGGGCTCCCATCCAAGAGGGGCCCTGCACTTTGGAAAAATACGCATAACATATTATGTAAAATAAAATGTGTTTAATGTTATACACATAATACATGTAACATTTTACAATTTAAAAAACCATATTGGAATGCATTTGTACTTGTATTATGATAAGTTTGTTATTTAATAAAAATGGAGCTATTTTTACGTGGGGTGCGGCAACACAACTTAGTGCTTGGGAGCCCTGGAATACTTCAATCCCGCCCTTGGCCAGATAGAGCGAGTGTACCAAAAAATGTAGTATGTGAATCTGATTATTCTAAGTATTAAAAAATAAGTATTAAATGTTTTTTGTCCTAATGTCACCCTAATTGTCTTCCTCTGGATAAAAAATTAATGTGAAAAGAAATGTTCACAATATCAAATCTTTTAGCTTTCACAGTTGACATTTTCACTAAAAGCAAGAAAATATGATTAAGATAACATTTAAAAATAAATTTTATTTAAAAAATATTGTCACGTCCATACAATCATGATTATTTACACAGTATTTCTATATCAGTAACAGTAGAAAATGTAATACACTATCACTTGAAATTTCAGCAGAAGAGGCTTGTATGCTTTTGGTAGTGGTCCCTCATCAATGTAGCATATTTCAAAATTTAGATAATCAATTAAAACTGGAATAAATGTATGATAATGCTTCGTCTTATCACTTAAAAACCTTTTCTTTTGAATCTTTTACCTCATAGATTTCCAACTCTTCATTTAATTTATTAGAGAAAACTTCCAGTCTGGTAGGCCATGGTCCAGTTGGCATTGAAGGGACAAACGTTTCATCCATGACTATGGTAGACAACTTCAGTGCTGTTAAGGTCGCAGAATGTTTGGCCCTTCGATGCCAAATGGACCATGGCCTACCAGCCCCAGAAATTTTCTCTTATATTGACTTCAGCTGTGAAAGCCTACAATGCTCTATAATAGATTGTTTCTAATGACACCATTGCATTATTTTTTAGGCCTCACTCAAATACTAGCCTGCATATGCTGCTCATTCCTTTTGTTACAGGAAGGGGGGTCCAAGTTCTTCCAGTTCTTTTATCCTAACTTCTAACTAGTACCGTACAAAGCATCTTTCAATGAAATTTCATTAAACATTGCGACATTGCTGAAAGTGCTCCTGGAAAGTGCCAATCATGGCCCCAAACTCACTTTTCCACAACACTATGAAATCAGCGCTTTTAATACATACTTGTCCAAGACATTAATTCTATATTATTATAAATAAGCCTGTGCAATGCTTACATATACAATGCTGTTTCTCAGAAAAATTTTATCAGCTGTGGTTCTGAGAACATTTTGTAGGTGATGCAGCTATGATCCATAAAATTGACTTGCAGAAATACTGTTGAACCTCAAGACAACAATTTTAGATGGAACCCCAACATAAATAACACACAAAACAGCATCAGGAAAATTTTCTTGTATACGATTAAATGAGGGAAATATGAATAGAAATTAAACAGTAGGAAGCTGTATGAATGAGTGAATTAATTATTTACACACTCAATCACTGATACAATTAATCATTAATTAATTCTTCATTTATTCATTTTGACGTATTTAGTAATAGTATATATGATGACAGATGAAGCAGTAGCAGTAGCAGAATCACCACCAATCACAGCAATAACTAATAATGTATTATTACAAATTATGCTTGTGTTTTCTTCTAGCATGTTCTGAAACACTAATGAAGCTAGGTGATGAGCAAGTGCAAAAACGAGAGGAAATTCAACTCATAGCTTGATTTTCATGGATCTGATCTGGATCCCATTTATTTAAAATCGTTTTCCCCCCTATATACCCCCATATGTACATTATAAATTTTGTTTATTTCATATTTAAATGACATATGAAAGGACATCCTTCAATATTTTTTTTGTTGGCAATGCTTCCCTCTAAACATTTTTCATTCTTGCATTAGAACTTGTGGATAAAAATTAAATTCTTCCAATTTATGAACCTTGGTTTTCTCATTATTATTAGGTTGAGAAAATATGATTTTCCGGTCAAAAACATACAATTAAAATAAAATAATTATTCAGTGTTATTCAGCATTAATTATTAGTAAATCTAATACAAACAAAATATTTGAAATAAATTTATCCCTTGAAAGAAAAAAATTAATTATTTTTTTCTCTGACTTATTTATTTTTGGCTTAACCCTCCAACTCGGAGGAGAATTAAAGCAATTTTACCTTTCATTGTTTCTTGGAGTGTTTATTTCTTCATGATAGTACAATTATGTGATGTATTTATCTAGGATTGAGAACTATTCACAAATTCATAATCAAAATAATCAACAATTAGTACTGGAATATTGTGAACTAAGACCGTGTGCTGTACTGTTTGCTAGTTTTTGATAATAGACATTTCTCCCCTGCTTGTTTTTGACACATCATTATTGTTTATAAAAAACTGAGTTGTTCTGCTATTAAGCTATATTATTGAAAAATTAAATTGGCTGGCAAGAATATGTTAGATAAATGAATGGAGATTGAGAAAGTGATGTGTGAAAAGATTCAAATACTTAATAAGTTGAATGAATTGTGTTGGAGGTTTTAAAATTCCATGCACCTAACTTCACTTGAGAATAGAAAATGTTTCAGACTTTAGAAAACAATGCTGAATTCCTAAGAAGTGCTTACTATTCATTCAGATTATTAGAAACCTCTTTATAAAAATTACACAAACATAATTATTTCATGGTTTCATTCATGTTTCTGACTTATTTTCTTGGGAACATTGTGGCTTTTAAACAGTGGCTTAGCATGATAAAATCAAGAGGGTAGACAGTCCAACCAAGCACAGACATTCATCAAAAATTCTGTTAAGCTTCATTACTGCAGCATAGTAAGCATAGTTATTTTCATTCGTGTAACTTAGGTCGTGCTGCCCCTAATGTTAATATAATTAATAAATTAATAATAATATCAATAGAATTAATAACAATAATAATGAAAATGCATTGCAAACTACAGTTTAATTATTTCAATTAAAATGTATCATTATAATATTATTTAATAAATATATTATTAATGATTATTAATAAATATTTAACTACCGTATTAATTTATCATACTTGAGTGACATCTGAAGGGGGCCATAATGAAGTAATCTTATATCATATATCTTAACATACAATTTTTGGAATGTTTTGCAGTAATATTTTCTCTTTACAATTGATCCATCTATCCAACAACCTGATAATTGTTTTATAACATGAATTAATTAAGTTTTAAAATTGTTATTTTGCCAGGAACTGGAAAATGTATTGCATAAATTGTAACTCTGTTACATATCTAAACAATCATTTTTTGTTGCCTCCTTCTCCCCTGAATCATGCACAAAACAAAACATGTGGCTACATACACATTGAAGCTCAGAGACAAACCACTATGTACTGACATGCCTGCAGGTGACAACAGACAAGTCTAACCCAGAAGTTGAAGCGATGTCTGTTTGGCCCATAAGAAGGCTCCACATTTGGATTTCATAATTGGTAGATGCTATACATGCGCAGAATTTATTTACATTTATTTCTGTACGCAGTGTCTACTTGGTTTCCTGATGTGATGGCAGCGATGTGTATGCAACTTTTCCTTATGGAAAATTGAGCCTGCAAAGACATCACAAACTGTCTATCCTCAGGCTTTTCTGCAAGGCACTGCCTTAAATAGTGTTTATCATATTGCAGCTGGCAAGGTACTGACTAATCCCATTTTTGTCTTCTTCACTCGTAATTAACTTAGAATTGAAGAGGAATATCTTCTATTGAAATATTTATTTTACATTGTATTTATTAATATTTTGCTTCAGTGGACATGTATACCTTGTCTCCCCTCATGCTATACCATGACATTTTAATCTGAAGTGAACAATATTTATAAGTTATCATAATACTATTCACATGATGTCATATGAAATATAAAACTTGAAATGCTGTAATCTTAGAAGGATCAGTCTCTTTCACAGCATACCAAACAGTGAATTTCTACAAACATTCATCAGTTCCTCACAAAATTTTGTACTTTGGTAGGTATTAAAAATAAATGTTAATAATATGTTTAGGGTTTTATCCATCCTCCGAGTGCATTTTCTAATTCCTGTGCTACAGCAATTGATAGCCTGTCTTGAAAGCGGGAAGCACCAATCTGAAGAAAAAGATGTCATTTGTAAGCAGAGAAAGTTTGCTAATTAGGAAAAAGTTGAGTTATTACACCATCTCTAATTTACCTGTATTCCAATAGGAAGCCCTTCTTTTGATCTTCCAACAGGGCAATTTGTAGCAGGCATTTGAGTACAATTAAATATAAAACATGATGTTCCATTCATGAAATAACTATACATTTCACCATGAAAAACAGCAGGTTTACAAAATGTTGGGATCAACAGCACACCATCATCTTTAAGTATGTCCTGAGATGAAAAGTATTAAGTAATTGAACAGTGCTGGAGCACTTATAAAACAATGATAAATATAGTTTGTTAAAATATTAAACCTTAAATAAGCGATTACAAAAGTTAATTTATAATGGTGTTGATGATTTGCAAAGTAGTAAACAAAAAAACTAAAAATATTAAATTTCAATGAATTGTAGAAAATTAGACTATAGCACATATTCACTAGAAATTCAATGCGCAAAATTACACTTAACCTAAAAAGTTATTGCTATCTTGGGAAAACTTTTGGGTGAAGATTATCCCCATTCTCAACTCGATATATGACGGTAATTATTGTTAGAAGATGAGTTTTTCCCTCTGAAATCTTCACAAATATATTATTTGATAAAAAACTGTATAAAGATGATGAAAGTTGATTTAAATTGTATTTTCAGGATTTATGGCTTCTTATTTTGACACTCACCTCAAGTTGTGTTCTTATTTTGCCAATTAACTCAATATATTTAGTTCGTATATTTTTGGGTAAATTGCCAAATAAAAATTTCAGTGGAGCATAAAGCAAAGAATAAGCACAGAAGTCAGACAAACCCACAATTTTTTTCAACCACTCCACAGATGGGTTTTTTCTTTCCTAATTGGAACACATTTCAATTATAGTACAAACAGAATGTACATTTGTAATTTATTTGTTCAATAAAAATATTAACAAAGAAAGAAAATAGTGGACATACGTACTTTAGGATTCTGATTTGTTTGAAATACTGATTCTAATCCTTCAAGACTAAATAAGCATGTTAGCATGATTGAGAAAAGATCTTTTAGTTCTTTGATGTAAATCTGAAAATAAATTTAAAAGATCTAAAACTCTTTAATACTCTAGTCAACAAATGTGAGAGATATACTTATAAATGTATAATTCTTACTTTTTGTGGTTCTATTTTGCACTTGATTTTTAAATGATCTACAGCTCTATGTAATCCAGAGATAACATCTGAATTTACTGGAAGAGATGAATAAGTTTCTACTTCTTCAATGTAAAATATACGGAGCTGTGATACATCTACCTGCACATTGGAAAATATAATAATGACAATAAACACACAAATAGTTCCTGAAATAATACAAAGAAAAATAAATTAAATTGCAGGAAAAGGAGGGAAAAATAATAAAAGTAGAAAATGCAGGAAAAAAGAGGAATAGAAAGAGAATGCAATTGCATCAAATTATGAACATTAAAAAAATTACATTTTCATCTAATTTAAGAGAGGGGACCACTTCATCTTTCACCATTAACTTCAGCATAAGAGGTAAATCTTGAGCATAGCGGGTCATTGGTCCAACAGAAAAGAACCTCCACCAATCTGTGTCGTCACTTCTGGGCAAATGACCAATATCAGACACTATACCTGCAAAGACAGAAAGCAATAGTTTATCAGATTGTTTGGAAAAGTTGAATTGATATGTTACTTAAATAAGGAAATTCAACTTTATTACACTGTAAACATTTAGGATATAGCACATACGGCATATATTGAGGGTGTTGCTGTTAAGAAGCAATATTGATCTTTCTATATTTGTGAAAATATACAATGACTATTACATATTTTTAATTTACAAAGATAAACCTTTGACATGGAAAAAAACAAATTGGTAAGAACATCATAATGTTCATAACAAATAATCATAATGTTTACATAAATAACTCCAACTGCTGATTTTCGCTATTGAATTGGTGTCTTGATAATTCTTCTCATTTCTTCTTTCTTTTTTCAACACTCTACAGTCCAATATGAGCTTGGCCTTCCTCACAATCCCCTCCAATTCTTCTCTCCTATCCACATTCTTTCACCACCCAGTAACTTCCACCTCTGTCATGTCATTCACAACATCTGCAATCCATTTTCTCTTTAGTCTTCTGCTTTTTCTGATGCCAATAATTCTGCTTTTATAGAGATTTTTTTGGCATTACTTCTACTCCAATTGTTTTCACATATCCCAACCAAGAAATTACAAATCTAGTTATATCTTCCCCTTCCAGTATGTTATTAATTTCTTCGTTATATCTTATCTTCCATCTTTCTCCTTCTTTAACTGCTCCAATTTCTTCTTTTTACTTATAGTAATAAATCAATGAGATCTTTTCAACACTAATATCAAAGTGTCATCTTGAGTTGTTTAAATTTTCAGTTTCCAACATTCAATCACCAACTTTTCAGAACAAACAGTTCAGAAACAAACACTCACAAACGGTGCAAATTCCCAAACATCCAAAACTTTTGTGATTATCTACTGATACCTTTTTTCAAGATAAAATACTGAAAACAGAAAGATCAAAATTTCTTACACCAATGCTTACTATGCATAAAAAAATTGATGTTTGCAAAAATTGCTTTTCCCAATGAATTACAAACATAGTGTTTAATTATTTAATGTCAAAAACAATTAAAAACTCTGTGACATACCGTGGGGAGTAGAGCAATCTGTGCCATTTTTTTGAGCTCTGGGATCCCTACCACAACTCATATACATATTAAGTTATATTACAAATACAGATAGCAAAAATTGATAAGCAAATATTAACTCCTGTGTAATAAAAACTATTTGCAATGTCAAATAAAAAAAATGTCAATGAAAAAAATTTCATTTACTTTTGGCTTTATTTTTTAACTATTATCAGATTTTGACTATTATAGACTCTATCTAGATTAAATTGAATAATTATTTATCAAAAATTAAGCAGAAATTGTACCTGCAGTAGGTTTGTGACCAAACACTCCTGTGAACATGGCTGGTAATCTCAATGAGCCACCAATATCAGATCCTATACCAATGACTGAAGCACCAGCTGCTAGGAGAGCTGCCTGTAAATTTTAGTCACAAATATGTGCATGAGAAATACATAACTAAAATATTTCTATCGAAGTCATGTAAAGCAAATTATATTTCTGCTCCCTCCCACTCTTTCAACTTTTTGACTTATGTATGTAATATTTTACAAGTAAATAAAAAAAAAATCAAATTTCAGAGAATGAAATTATAACATGAAAGACACAATTTATAAATACAATTGGTTTTAGGTTGAACCATTTTCAGGTTGACAGATGGCTTGTCACATACTGATTCACCAAATTGTGAGGTTAAAAGAAGGGAAAATCAAGAGAATGAACATATTGGCAGAAATAATTTGTTAGAGGCCTCTTTCAAAATTTTCAGGAAGGCAATGGCCACCGTTTGGCACACACCTAAGATTCTTACAAATTATTCAACTGATTCTGTGCCCTAGTGTGAGCAAATTTGAGGATGGTTCAAAAATGCCTTCTTTGCAATTTTGAAGAAAGATGGAAGTTAAGTTAAATAGCATATTACAGTGTTTGATCGATTTTAAAAATAATGTTAAGAAACAGATATTGCATTACAAAAAATAATTTAATGTACTTTTTAACAGTATTAATGAGCAGTGTAATGTAGTATAACGTATGTATCTATCAATAATAAAGTAAAAAATGGTCCCTTACATTTCATCAATTGAATTAAAAAGCAAGTATTATGTTAGTTTTCTTATATTATGACTAGTAAATAATTAAGTAAGTACATTTTTAATAAGTTGAACATTGAATTTATTAAAGAAAATAATTGGCTAGAGTGTAATATTGATGATTTTGAATCTTCTTGCTCCCTGAGGTGCATGGAATAGTAAAAAAGTCAAATTATGATCCATGTATTCAGCTTTCTAACTGAATGTCGTAATAAATTTATTACTTACCAATCTATAAATAATTAGTTTGTTCCATGTATGAAATGTAAATGTTGTGTAGCAGTTGTCAAGTAATTGTCATCTCAAATACTTGAAAATAGTGTAAATAAGGAAAAATTGATCTGATTCTTTAAAGTTAATTTAAAATAAGCAGTATTATAATTCACTTTATTAATCTTAGAATGGAAATTGCTAATTTGCAAAACATGAAAATAATTTGTTAAAAAAAAAAAGCTGGAATAGTTAACAAGTACATTTACTGAAATTCAAATGTGTTAATTACTTGCCTCTTCTAAACTGAGTTATTCTCAAACTCTATTAAAGTTAATTTATAAACTGATAAAGAACATTATTATTTTTACATGCTTCATTAAAGAAAAAATTATATAATGAGTGTATGGTTACTACTATGATACATTTTATTTAAATATTATACATTATATTAATATATTGTGTATTAGTGTATCATTATCATTATCATTATTATTATTATTATTATTATTATTATTATTATTATTATTATTATTATTATTATTAATTTTTCTATTGGCATAAATTTGCCATGCACCCAGAAGGCTTGTGTAACTGAAGTACCTACCAAACTAATAATCCCTCTTCTAATGTGCCACTTGTTCCTACTTATGTCGTTTGGCAATACTTGAGAGCAATAAGGGGAAGGCTCAATTTTTATTGTTTTGTATGATTGACCCGGTGTCACTGTATATAGTCACTGATTGTTTAAAGTTGGTCAAAAAATTTCAACTGACAAGGAACCTTCATCAGGTTAAAATCTACCCTACCTTTTTTTTTCTTATGTGGATATATACTATTTCTGAGTGCTGTACAAAAATTAGCTGCTGCAATTTTGTGGAAGTTACTGAAACTACTGGTGCTACAGAATGACACAGGCTTTCTCATACTAGTTTTCTAATGTCTTTGGTCTGGGCCAGCTTTTTGGTGTTGCCCCATCGTCTAGCCAGCTGTCATCTATCGCCACCTTAAGTACATATTTTTGAATTTTTCTCAGTGTTTAGGTATCTTAATGATAAAACCGACTTATTACTTAAAGAATGTTAAGGATGACTAACGACCCTAATGTAAATATTAACAACATGAGTGATAAGTCAAAAATATTACATTTTTGTAATTAAAAAACAACAACAAAAGAATAGAACAAAATGGCTTTTATATCATATGATAGAGTGCATGAAGCACTATCTTTACCACAAGTTCAAAGGAAACATTTGAATCTGTTTTTGAGAAAATCTTGTTTTTGTTATTTGTTTAAAATTGCAGATATTGCATGCAATACTGCAAGAAAACTAGTAAAATTCTCCAAAAATGTACATGACCTTATTGAAAGAACTGATTATGAACAACTACTTTCATTTGAAGGAAAATTCTCTATCTTTATATTTGTAATTGATGGAAGAGACCGGAAATAATTCAATCTTTTGAAATTTTTAAACATTCACATTTAACTCTGAAAATCAGACCTATGCCACCTTTATTAATGTATTTTACTCTATTCTTACAAGAAATTTAAAGAAAAAAATTGGAGCGTTAAGAAAAAAAAATTGAAAATGTCCAGGGGGACTCATGTAAAGTTTCCCCAAATTTTAAAGAAAGTTTTTCAAAATTGCGGCGCCTCTAGTGGAGCCAGTTCGACCGGGGAATATTCATTTTCGAAAAAATCGTACGTATGGTTTAGATGCTAGTGGTGTTCACAGACTGACAATGAAAAAACAGACCGACGGACGGACGGACGGACGTTTTGAAAAACAAAGAAACACTTGTCGATATCATGGGACCCTAAAATTGTATTTCCGTTGAAATCTCGAAATCGATATTCCGCAGCATTGGGCAACTTTCCCTATCCTACGTATATACGTTTGGACCCGGGAAAGTAAAGATACGAAAGCTCCACACTTTTCACGACGAAAATCGTCTTTCGTACAGGGTTTGTATAGCCCTGCTCATTGTGAGAGATTGTCCGTCGAGGGAACATGCACTCTTATGAGTAGAGACCGGAAACATTTGTACTTAAATGTGTAATTAAAACAATATGTAATAAATATGTAAAATCATTATATAATATGTAGTATTAAAATACACTAAATACACAGTGCGACAATGAAATGTACCACTGAACAAAAATATGTGATTGTTATGTAGTCCAGTGCCCTGATTACAATAGTGAAAACCATCTTTCGATATCACCTGAACTTTTTTCTAAAAACACAATTTTATCTGCGTTCGGTTGCGTTAGTAATGTCGTGGTGCTTATCACATCCTGTTATTTTAGGGATATTATTAGATATTATTACCTACGTTGTGCTGGGAGTAGAGATGGGAGGAGGAGATAGGTACTTGGGGTAGGTAAAGGGAAGTTCCACTTGCATGAGTCAGTCGATAGCGAGATCACAAAGTACCTATTCCTGAAGTGTGTAAATTCGCTAACGCCAAACGTGAAGAATATTATTTGTGTATGTTCTTGTGTTTCTTACACTCAACGATGTCTAGGCAGTATGTTAATTCACTAAATATTTTCTGTTATATGTGTAGCGAGTTTACGACTAAGTCTCAAAGACATTCCATTTCTTCGATCACCTAAAAATCGTACGAATAGTATTTTGAATCAAAAGTAGATGGTGGTGTTTGTCACCAAAGAACTCATGCTCATATTGATCTCACTATTTACGAGGCTGGTATTGAACGCACCCATCTACGCTATTTGCCTTACCACAATTGTGGAGGGAACCTAGAGACCACATCACAGATTGGTACACTTTTGTTTACCGAAAGCAACAGAAATCTCAAATAAATCAGAACTCATCAAAATTTGGCTTCAAAAATATTGCTTATCAAAATTTGGAGTCTCAATGAGCAGCTCCGCAGTCTGATTCTCTCCAGTTCGAAAAGCACCAACGGAATTGACAATGAAATATGTAACAGACAATGGCAGTGACAAACCAACAGATCAAGAAGATCTTGAAAACTCGCTATCTGCAGCACGGCTACAACCACAGCCATTGTCGCAGGCAGAATTGAACGATCTTGTAAGATATCTAAATCTTTCGAAGAGGCAAACAGAATTACTTGGGTCTCTTCTTCAAAAAAATAACCTGTTACAACTGGACTTAGTATTACTTTTCGGAAAAAGTCCGCTTGATCTTTCATCGTTTTTCCTCAATGACAGGTAGTTTGGAATAGTGTAATGACATAAATGGGATTCTTACAAAATCTGGAATGATTCACAATCGGGAAGAATGCTTCTATCGACGACTAGTCTGAAAGTCATTCTATTACGTAACGGAAACGACAAACATTCGATACCAGCGACCCTTTTTGTTCAGTTAACGGAAACCTACGAGAAGATGAGTATGCTCCTGAAGAATACTGGCTATTCGAATAAAAAATGGACAATCTGTGGCGATCTCAAAGTTCTGGGACTTCTTCTAAGAATGCAGACTGGTCGCACACAAACATAATGTTGTGACACTAGAATAGTAGGGCAAGGAAAGAACATTCTGTAGTCAAGGAGTGGCCTTTGAGAGAAATTTTCAATACTGGTGAAAAAAATGCGTCGTATGAATCCCTTGTTAACAAAGTCAGTGTGCTGTTACCGCCACTCCCTCCGAAATAAGGCGTCATGAAAAATTTGGTGAAATCAATTGACACAGATGACCAGGGTTTTCAATTTTTACTATTTTAAATTCCTACGATTATTTCTGCAAAAATATATAAAGAAGAAATTTTAATTGGGCCTCAGATCCGTGACTTGATGAAAGATGTACATTTGTACTTCGAACATTCGTTGACAGATACTGAGAATACAGCTTGGATTGCAAATTAAATGCGACATTTCTTGGAAAACATAATGTCTGAGAATTGCAGGGAACTGACGGAACACATCCGGGACTATTTCAAGGCTTTGGGGTGCAACATGTCTCTGAAATTACATTTTCTTCATTCGAATTTGTATTTCTTCCCGCCTAATCTTGGAGATGTGAATAACAATCATGGTGAGCAATTTCATCCAGATATCGCTGTCACCATGGAAAGGCGATATAATGGAAGATGGTCACCAAACCTTTTGGTGGATTA